AAGATTTACGAACTGTTTGGACTCTATGAATCCATGATCTTGTCAGGGCAATATCAAGGCTTCAATCAACGTCCAGAAATCCATTCTTGCTATGTCCAAACCATCCAGCCTCGCCTCTCGAGCTTGCTGCCTTAGACTTTACCACAAAAAGCCAACACTTTCAGCCCTCTGATAATTTCAGGCTACACTGTTAATACATGTTCATACTTCATATAGCTACTCAGCTGACTTCTTGACTGTGAAACCGAAACTCTTGTGAAATCCCCTGAGTCCTGCAGAAGTGTTAGGAATAGACTGAATAGACATAAGCTGCTTTGAGGGAGATGCAAGACGCGATCGAAGCTGACAATTGCCGGTGTCTCCACCAAACCTCAGACAAACAAACAACAGCTCAAATAGCTTGAGTTGTGGCGCGATTTCACTTCTTTCAAGTATGTTTAAATTTGGCCGTCGCAGCAACAGCGACTGAAACGCATTGACATCTGCCCACTTTCTTCATTTCCAATGAGGAAACATTTTTTGTGTAAGTCAGAAAAGGTATTTTTAATGTTCGGATCCATCAACAAACAAGGTTGCCTCCGCATTAGTGACGCTGGGTATTTTGCGCGTTGGTATCAAGAAGATGTGATGTAATTCAAGATGTTTTTTTTGCACAAGGTGCTTCAAGTTGGTCAAAAAGAAGTCCAACTAAAGAAGTTGAGAGCGTTGCATCAAGAGCATATTGGAAGCTACAAACATAGTGTCAAGAGAGTGTTGGACGCTGCTGGAAGAAGTTAAGAGCATAGCATCAAGACCATGCTGAAAGAAACTTGGAGTTGAGAGCATGGCATCAAGAGAGTGTTGGCAGCTACTTGAAGAAGTTAAGAGCATACCAGTAGCATCATGTAGCACAAACATCTCCACTGTAGCGTCATTTCGTCCGCAAGACAACCTGAACGCTATCGCCCCACCCCACCCTACCCAAACCCCCATGTTCCCATAAGACATTTCTACCGTAAGCGAACATAAACGTCAATGCCCCACCCAACCCCACCCCAAGCAAAAAGCGTCAATTTCCCCCGCGTCGTTAGTACGGCCGGTAGCACCAACAAAGTGATCCCGCTTGCGCCGAATGCGATTCTTTGAGTGGCAAGACCACCAATCCAATCTGCTGGTCGCGGGAAACTAGAAAGAACAAAGGCGCGCAGGTTGAAATTCGCATGGGATATGGGATACGTCTCAAATATTTCAAAGAGGTGTTTAAGAGATGTCCCACGTATGTACAAAGTGTCCGTCTTCACTCGTCTTTTTCCATGCGTTCTATGCAAACATGTGTTCCAATGTTTGGGAGTTCGACTTGTTGGCTCTACTTTGCCTAGAAGCACCGGAAAATGACCGCGATGGCGGCATTGCACAAAACTTGTGCTGATTTGTCGCCTCCGTGCTCATGTGTCTGGACGCACAATTCAAAGAATACCAAGAAACACGTGGCATCCACGAATCTGAATGCAATGATATTTTAATGGAATGTCGTGGAGTGTCGTGAATAAATTCAGGCATGCTGTTGGACATAGGGTATTCTCCTTGTGAGCACTGAGACACTTGACACTAGTGACGAGACATGAAATGCCTGCGGATGTCGGAACACTCTTGTGAGACACTCCTCAAAGGACTCTAAGGCACTCTTGGAAGACACTCCAAGACTCATAGACAAACACGTCTTGTCAGACAGACTTGCGATACACTCTTGTAGGTTTGCAGGACACTGTCAACACTTTTCTCGGACAACTGTTGGACACTATCGAGAGACACCGTTGTCAAACACTCTTCTGGGACACTCTTGTGCGACAAACACGCTGATGAGACACTCTTGTGGAACACTCTGACACTCTTGTGGAACCGTCCCACTTTTTGGTAAACTTTTTGGGAGCCGCTCTTGCAAGACACTCCATGTTGCTGCCATGCAGAGTACCTCACCACTGCAAGAATCGCACCAAGTTCTACAACTGGCAATGTACAACCCTCCACGATGCGCCCGGACTCCTTCGCGCAACCGTTGCCATGCATGCGCTGCATTTGCTACCCAAAATGCAACCTCACCTCTCCCTTCGCTGCCACGCAAAAACACCATCTTTTTACAACAAGTATACGAATCCATGGCGCCTGCTTTGCAAACCTGGTTTTGAGACCAAAAAAACCACCCGCAAACTCTGCATTTGCAATGCATTTCGCAATACACCTCGTCAAATTACATGTCTTGAAATTTCCCGCTGGGCACAGAGGTCCCTGCCACGCAAACGGTGGCAGATGGTTGCCGGCAGTTGCGGACGGTTGCGAACGAAAAACGAGGCCGTTGCAAACACAGTCCAACCTATATGAATGGTAACCCGAAGCATTTCGGAAAAATGCCTCTGACTGTCCATGGTTTGTAAGTTGCACACTTGTTGTCTCCGCGGTAGTAGCAGTAGTCATTGTGTTTGTGGATTCCTCTGGCATTGCCATCGCCAAACTCGTCAAGCCTGCAGCAGAAGTTGTTGAACACAACAAGAATTCACAGGTCGTCTGGCTTTTGAAAGGAACGACAGGCTCATACGGACATTTCTTTCCGAATGTCATGGTATCATCACGACGAAGTCTCCTTGGACATACTCAGCGCCTTTGGAGCTGAAAGTGTCCGAGCCAGACAAAGCCGCTGTGCCTCAAGATCGAGGCAGTTTGAAGGCAAACGTTTTTGCGCACACCAAATCTAGAAAAATGTTGTCTCTTCTCTTTATCGTCTAGTTTCTATGTATACCGTTGCGTTCAAGTGCAAAAATGTGTGTGTGTGGGTGGGTGCGCGTTTGCGTGTATGTTATCTACGTCTGTATCCTGTATAGATACTGTATATATACTATCGATGTAACATTAAATAATAATTATAAAACATATCTTTCTCCATACATACATAACATTACAAACATTACAAAACATTACAAAACATTAAAAAACATTGCATGCCATTACATTACATTACACTACACTACACAACATTACATTACACTACATTGCATTACATCACATACATACATTCATTTCATTTCATTTCATATCATTTCATTTCATTACATTACATTACATACATACAGGCATACATACATACATGCATACATACATACATACGTACATACCGTACATACCGTACATACCGTACATACCGTACATACCATACATGCATGCATACATACATACATACAAACCTTACATTACATTACTTCACTTTACATTACATTACATTACGTTATGTTACGTCACTTTACCATACATACATACATGCATGCAGACATACATACATACATACATACAAACATTACATTACATTACATTACATTACCATACGTACACACATACATACATACATACATACATACATACGTACATACATACACACATACCATACCATACATACTATACATACCATACATACCATACATACCATACATACCATACATACCATATATACCATATATACAATACATACCATACATACCATACCATACCATACCATACCATACCGTACCGTACCATACCATACCATACATACATACATACTTACTTACATTACATTACATTACATTGCATTGCATTGCATTACATTACATTACATTACATACGTACATACATACATACCGTACATGCCATGCATACCATGCATGCCATACATACCATACATACTATACATACCATACATACCATACATACCGTACATACCATACATACCATACATACCATACATACCATACATACCATACATACCATACAGACCATACAGACCATACAGACCATACATACCATACATACCATACATACCATACATACCATACATACCATACATACCATACCATACCATACCATACCATACCATACCATACCATACATACATACATTACATACATACATACATACATGCATACATACATACATACATGCATACATGCATACATGCATACATACATACATACATACTACATACATACATGCATACATACATACATTACTTACATACATACATACATACATACTTACTTACTTGCTTACTTACATTACATTCATACATACATTACTAACGTAACCTAACATCACATTATATTACATTACATACCATTACATGTCCTAACAAAACAAAACAAAACGTCACATACATAAATACATACTAACATACCTTAACAGAATAACAGAACATAACACAACATAACATGACACAACCCACATACATACATACATACATACCATACATGCCAAACATACCATACATACATACAAACATTACATTACATTAGGTTACATCACATTACGTTACATTACATTAACAAATAAATATACACATACATACAAAAAAAACACATACATAACATACACACCATACAGACCATACTTAACATACATAACATGCATAACATACAAAACATACATTGCATACATTCCATACATTACATCATCACATACATTACATTACATTACATTTCATTAAATTACATTACATTACATACATTACATACATGACATACATGACATGCATTACATACATTGCATACATTGCATAAACTACATACATTACATACATTACTACTATATCACACCATGCCATACCAAACCAAAGCATACAATACAATACATACATACAATACATCATGCATACATCCATGCATGCATGCATATATACATGTATAGATATATAGAAACTTATTTAAATGTATACATGTTATATGTATACATATATACATATTTACATATTTACATCTATACGTATACACATATATACATTGTATACCGTATATACTAGTATATACATATATATTTGTGTTCCCGAATAGAATTGAAAATGTCAAACGGAAAACAGGCAACTGCATCAGCGTGTTCCCTCTTTTGCTAAGCAGTTGGCCTGTGCGGCTGGGTTTCTGTCTGATGCCATTGCATCACAAACCAACGTCTGGTTTCACACTGAAACCCCAAAAGATCAGTGGTGGTGTCACACATCTTATCCACCCAACCCGCCGGAGCTATCAGCTCACACAAAAGGAGTCCAAAAAACGGGTTCAGGTGTGAAATTCACCACTGTTAAAAGAAAGTCAGCCGCGACCACCAGGCTCCAGTGGACCTTGGGTGGCCTATGTGTCGGTCTTACGACGTTTGTAGAGGGGTAGTTGTCCCTCCCCAATGGTAGGAGTAGGTCCTCCCACACCGGTGATTCTCCTTTTACTTCCTCCTTTGTGGGCCAGATGCCAGGTGAGGTCCATGTGGGGGTGGTGACCTGCAGGGGACCTCCATATTCTGCTATGGCAGTAATCAGATTCAGATGGAATGGTTGGCCAGCTGCCACCTCCTCTGTGTCCTCCGGGCCAAGCCCAACTGCCTGGGCGAGGTTGTGCCTAGTGCTTTTCAATAGTTCATCGGAGAAAGGATGTTTCCTATCACCCCCGTTGATGGAGCGTTGGACTTCCTGGGCACAGGACTGTGCAAGTGGGGCGATGGCCTCCCCCAGGTGTGCAAGGGTGGTGCATGGTCTTCTCGAGGAACACCTGCTTGCCGCCGGTGCCCTGCTGCATTCCACCGGGTCCCTTGAGTGGTCCAAGAAGGAGTGGAAGTCCTCCGATGCTCTGGCTTGGTGTGCTAATGCTGTGATCACCATCTGTCGAAGCAGCAGAAGGCTATCTCTATGTGTGTCCAGTTGTTCAGCTGGTGAGTTATAGACTCGAGTCCCCATGTCTGTGAGGGGTCGCGCCCTCTCACTGGCCTGCGAGCCCCAGGTTTGGCGAGCCAGCGGAAGATACTCCATGTTCTGCAATTGGGGCAGTTCCATCTTCCCTCCACTGCCGCACAGCAGAGTGTGGAGTAGAACCCATCATTCAGGATGTCGTTGGTTGGTGTCTCCGACTGGCGCCGGATATCGACAGCCAATATCTTCTGTGCCAAATCCGGACAGAGTTGTGCCAGGATCTCGTCCAGGGCACCCCCGTCCTGTTGTCCCACATAAAGGAGTAATAGGAGATGTCGCCCATGCAGCACGGCAGTGGGCTCTGTCGTCCATGTGAGCCGTTCCAGGAGTCTGGACCATACAGATTCCAACCAAGGGCACCACTGGAGGAATTTTGTCACGTGTGGGTCATTACGCCCTTGGTCTCTGACTGTTGTTGTGTCTGTTGGGCGGGCCGGTGGCCAGGTGGGGGGAACCCCCCAGCTGGCGTTGTGTGTGTGTGTGTTGTGTGTTTGTGGTGTGTGTGTGTGTGTGTGTGTGTGTGTGTGTGTGGTGGTGTGTGTGTGTGGTGTGTGTGTGGTGTGTGTGGTGTGTTGTGTGTGTGTGCGTGTGTGGGTGTGTGTGTGTGTGTGTGTGTGTGTGTGTGTGTGTGTGTGTGTGTGTGTGTGTGTGTGTGTGTGTGTGTGTGTGTGTGTGTGTGTGTGTTGTGTGGGTCCCGTTGCCTTCTCCATCGGTGACTCGGTGCCAAGGGCTACCGCGTCCTCCAGGAGTCAACGGTGTGGGCATTGGTGAGGGGTGTGTTCTGATGGGGCTGCATTACAGACCCAACCAATTCTTGAGGACTGGGCAGTTGTGAGATCGGCCACAATTCCCTGGGCACCCGGCAGTACTGAACACCTTTTGGTGAAACTTTTGCCCCGTTGGATGACCATTCGGGGGTCCCTTCGACTTGTTCCATTGTGGCTGAGATGGGGACCAGTGGCTGGACCAGTGGGGCTGCTTGCCTTTTGCCTTAGCATGCAGTCCACGCTGGGGAATCTGGCCCAGCTGAGCCCTTATTCCCTTTTTGTCTGGCTACCGACTCGTAGACCTCCCGTGTCCAGAAGAGGGTGTCCTGCTTGATCTGGGTCATGGCTTCCTTGAGGCCCATACCGCCATAGACCAGATTGTGGATTTCCCGCCATGCATTCCGTTCGGCATAAAGCAGGACTTGTTCAGCGGGTGTAGGGCTCTATCTACGATGTCACGTCCCCAGAACCACCGGTACCAGTTTTCCAGGTCCCTGTGGGTCACATTCAACTCCGGCATGCTGGGGAAGGAGAGGATGGCCATGAGGAGGTTCGTCCTGAAGACCAGCATATGTTCCAGCTGCCTCTGTGTAGTGGGCAGTTTCCGTGTCTCCTCCTCTTCTTCCTTCTCCCATCCGTCCACCGTCACCTCCTTGGAGGTTTTGATGGGACGTTCTCTCCTTGTGCACAGAATTTGCTTTGTTTCTCCAGGCTGGTCCTCCAGCCTGGGGACAGGTAGTTGGACCACTGTCGTCCACGATTGCAGTATCTGGCGCCGATCACAGAGCGCATCCAGTGAACGGGCCGACTGTGTTGGATGGTGAATGAGTCCAGCTGGGCCCACCCGTCCTTGGTTGAACCCCCCTGTGCCCAAAAGTTGTTGGGCCTGGCGGACACATTGGGACACCCTCATGGCCAGGTGTTGTGTGGGCTCCTGGGTGATGAGTGCGCCCCGACGGTCTATGTGGCTGAACTGGACTTCTGCCGCCGCATTGTTTCGGGCTTCTGTGATGGTGGGCCACCGGTCAGCAAGGTCCTCTACTGAGCGATATCCATCTTCTGCCATGCGGGCCATGATGAAGTAGGATATCTCCCTTGCCTGGAAAATGGTCAGGACTTGCTGGTGGAGAAGGCCCACAGAGTCTTTGTATTGTTCAGGGATTGCCTCAGGTGGTGCGTCCAGCACGTCTGGGATCCTTGCCATGATCGAAAAAGGGTCGCGGTGGGAGGGCTTTCGATCTGTTCAAAGCGAGGGGAGGACTTGAGCCAAAATGGCATAGCAACTATATCGACAACACATTACTTGCTCTCCACAAGTTCCAAGCAAAGAAACAAGTGTTCCCGAATAGAATTGAAAATGTCAAACGGAAAACAGGCAACTGCATCAGCGTGTTCCCTCTTTTGCTAAGCAGTTGGCCTGTGCGGCTGGGTTTCTGTCTGATGCCATTGCATCACAAACCAACGTCCGGTTTCACACTGAAACCCCAAAAGATCAGTGGTGGTGTCACAAATCTTATCCACCCAAACCGCAGGTTGGGTGACACCACCACGCCACACCAAAGGATGGCACCCCGGCCGGGGAGGTCATAACCCGGTTGGTCGGTGCCATAGGCTACCGCTCAAGTTCAAGTCTTTCCCCCTATGGCCCTCATAGTGATTCTTGAGGGCCGCGGCCGTCGCCTTTTCATATTCCGACGCCGTATCATTAGCGTCATCCGAGACCAAATCTGAGCTCAGGGCATCTGAGTCCAAGTCCGAGGTCTCCACGTTTTCCACCCTCATTGCCGAGCCCCAATTAGTGGGAAAGTCATGGTTCTTGAAGCAACGAGTGCATTGGGCGTACTTATGAGGTTCTTGGCTATAGTCGTCCGGGTGGAGGTCCAGCGCCTTGGATGCCGTGGGTTGCCATCCACAACCCACTGCCTTGCCATCCCAGTTCAACAAGTGGATGTTCATAAGCCCTGTGGAGCGGTTCGCCTTGGATGCACTGACTACTCGGAGGGTGTCCCCGTGCGGGCTTGTTCCGGAAGTTGTGGTGGTCCGGTGAGGCAGATTTTGGTTTTCCTGGACTCTCCCGTATGGGTGATGAAGCCAAGTCCAGGATCTCCGGTTGCCAGTGTTGGTGCTGGAGGTCAATTGGTACGGCCTTGAAGTCTAACTTTCCCAGTTTGTCAGCAACCTCAATCCAGGCTCTTTGGACCACCTTCCGCTTCTCCCTGGTGTAGATGTCAGCAATGCTTTCCATGGTCCAGTTTCCCAGGTATTGCCGTTGGTCTCGGGGCATACCAAGTTGATATGCCCAGTCGGGGATGAAGACCCGAAAACTATGCCAACTCAACTGTCTAAACGTCGAGGTCTCAAGGGCGCCTTGTCTGTGTAAGGCATCTTTCAGCCATCGCAGCGTCCGATCCGCTGGACCTGGGCGCGGGATCAAGCCTGTGAAGTCGGAGCTGATCGTCGGTATGAGGTAGTCCATGTCCCGAAAGTTGTCATGGGCTGCCAGTCGGTCCCAAGATTGGGTGAGGATAGTCCACGGGTCTAGCCCCGTGAATGAGTAAAGCGGGGCAATCAAAGGAACCAGGTTCTTCTTGATGCAGAAAGCGCTTACGGTCTTCGTCTGCCAGGCTTGGAGTTCCAAAGTGGTCTCCGTGGGCTTGTATCCAACTGGACTCGAGGTCGTTGAACCTGGCGCTACATGCTACCTGAAATCTGGCCATGGCACAGATGTACCTGTCCAAAAGCACTTTGGGGGAGGTCGTCTCCAAAGTCCCCTGCTGCAATTTTCTCCAAGGCAATGATGACCTCCCTCGAAAGTAACTTGGCTTTCCTCTGGGGCTTGATGTTGGTCTCCACCAAACCGTCCTGGATGGTTTTCCGCTTCGCCTTGAGCCGTTCAAGTCCATCAGGGTCAAGGAGCCCGAACTTGGCAGAGAACCATCGGAATGTGTTCCAGATGCTCTGGAGTTTGTGTGGTGTGATCTCCTGGTCCCGAAGGGTGTTAAGGAGGCCTATGTCCTTTGCAAATGGGAGGAGGATGCCAATGATCCGGTCGGCCCAACGTTCACGGAGGTGCAGTTCCAGTTTGCGTTGAGTAGTGGCCGGTTCCTCCTTGAGGCGTCCCGGTTTCCAGTCTCCACTTCGCTGTGGGCGCGACCATCTCTGGTGGACGGGAGTGAAAGGCTCTCCACCGCGCCGGATCCAGACATTCTTGTTCATGCTCAAGGGCAGTGAAGAAGGCTGAATCTGGTGCCCCTGCAACTGCGGTGAAAAGGGTGAAGGACGTATCGTAGATCAAGTCTCTCTCGTTCGGGTCCACCGGTGGTGGAAGTCTGTGCAGGCAGTCTGCCACAAATAATTCCATCCATGGGGTGGTGGCCACCATTGTAGATCTACGATGCTCCTCATTCGTGGGGTCAATGTCACTGCCCGCCAGATGCCCCCATCAAGTGCATTTGGGTGTTGTAGGCAACGCCTCGTGAGAGAAAAAGTCAGCCAGCAAGGCCAAAAGGCTCTGACCACGCCAGCGCAACTCCGGCAGGGCCCAAGTGTATGCCGGGCAAGCACCCTGACGCCTGCTTTTTCCTTGGGAGCAACGAGATTCCATCCACTTGCCGTGCTTCGCAACAAAGGTTGAGCATTGCACATGCTCCCAACGGATGCAACCCACAGCGGATTGCAGGAGCCAACCAATCAGAAGCTTGTGGGTACCCTAGGGCTTGAAAGAACAAAAAAAGCAGGTTGATGAGTTCCTAGGGCTCGAGCTCGGGAGCTTGCCGGCTCGTGTGCGCAGCGGCATGAAAGCGGAAAGTAGCCACCAGCGGATGTGCCAAGTCGAAATTATTAGGCAGCAAACCACTTCAAGGCCGCATGCATAGAAGCAGCTGCAGGTGCCCCCCCCGACTCACAGAGTGCAAGAAGGAAGCCAACTGGAAAGGCTTAGGAAGTCGAGTCGTGGGTCCCAAGCCAGCGCCTAAAGCTGCTAACAAGGTGCCCCAACCGAGCCGTAGACAGCCGAGCAGCTCCGTGCAGTATGGTGTCTCCGACTTGTTGGCGTTGCCGGGGGGGGGTCGTTCAAACTGGCTTGATCGATACCCAACTCGCAATGTCGAGGACATACTCAAGGAGGATGTTGAAGAGGGCATCCAGTGGAGTTTAACCTGCTTAGCCGCCTCGTCCGCTTGCGCCTCCAGAGGCACAGGGCCAGAGGTTTGCAGTGCCGCTGAGCTGGTACCCAGGCCGATCAAGGGGCGCACACGGGCGGAGCTGGCAGTGGCAGAGGCGGGCTGTGAGACTGGGACGGATGGGTACACAGACACCCTTGACGCAACCACAGTCTGCACAGCGACGCGTCGAACTTCACACGCCTGGGCAACCATCGGGAATAGATCCGAGCCATCTCCACGTTGGTTTCTGCGCAGACAGGGCGTCCCGAGACCTCACATCCAGAAAGGCATCGACATGGGGAAAGGCCCGCCACATCGGCCGCTGAGTCAATGCCTTCGCTACCCAGAGCGGCAATGAGAACAGGCGGCAGCTCAACGAGAACTCCTGCAGCGCCGGATCCATGTGGCACATGTGCTCGTGCAACGTGGGCTGCTGTGTAGATCTTGACCTTGGCAGGGTCGATGGTGCCGTCCGTGAGGACCTCCGCCGCCGGGATCTTGAGCGGCGGGTCGATGCGGCAAAACCTCCCGACCTTGAAGCCGCTGACCTCGAGGAGGCTCGGGTCCTGCGTCTGGCTCGCGGTTTGCCAGGACCGGCCGGCGGTCTCGCACCACTCGCAGACTCGCCGTTCGCCATCGCACAGGGTGCAGATCGCATCACAGAGAAGACTTGGACAGGCCTCGCACCAACTGCGCGTCCAAAGTCCGCAGCGGGTGCACGGTTCGGCTCCCAGAGCACGCCCCTCCCTGTTCTCCGGGACGCGCGGCGGTGATCCGCGCTCTCTGCCGCTGTCTTCCAGGTGTCCCAGTCAGTACCACGCAGGGCCATCTGACCGGAAACACCTAGCCCAAAAAGAAAAGGAAAAATGAAATGGGTCCTTGAGCCACAATGGCCCAAGGCCCGTAAGTGCTTACACTCTCACAACCCATGAACCCCCTACCCAACATCCTGCATTCATGGAAGGTAAAACGTGTTTTTTACGTGGTTTTTGGTTCCGCGGTCTGTTAACAGAGATGGTATCACATATCGCCAACCTAGCCTCAACATAGGCCCTAAGATGGGTTAGGCCAAGCTAGGGCTAACATAGGCCAACATAGGGCCGACATAGGCCCAACATGGGCCCAAGATAGGCCGAAGAGCGGGGGCGTAGCCCTTTAATCCGGGATGGTCTAAGATATCGCCACCATACATAGCCTCCACCTGCGCGCAACATGCTCCCAACACTTCCTTTCTGCCATTTCTCTGCCGGCGCCCGGCTGTCAGGCGTAAGCCCTTAAATATATATATATAATTATATATAATATGTATATATATATAATAAAAATATATGTATCAATATTTATTCATACACATACATGGATCGTAGTTGAAGTAGCCCGTCTGAAAAGAGTGTAGCAGTGTAGCATGGACTTTGATTAGAGCAAAAAGCAGGCACACCGCGGCAGCAATGGTATATTGTATACACCAGCCCAGAACTCAGAAACATCAGCCCACTGCAATTGCAAAGAATCAAAGCATGGCTGCAACAACTTCAGAGACTAGCGCAAAAGATTGGCAAGGTCAAACTTCAAGATGGTCATCGCCGAGTGCAATACTTGCAGTGGCTTGGCTTCTCTTGTCGCAACCTTGGGGCACTCAACTAAAAAAAATGCTGCAGTAAAAAATACTGTTCAAAAAGCTATTAAGAGAACTCAATGCAAAAAGAAGAAGACAGCAGCATCAGACCAAACAAATGCTGTGCCTCCTCCACTGAAGATACTGAAAGCATTGCTGTCCGTAAAAATTGTCTAAGAGATCCAGCCACCATCAAGGTCTGGTGCCACCAGGCTGAGCCACTCCTGCAACCAGAAGACAAAATTGAGGCGTGTGGGGCCTCATGTCACTCTCAGCGTATTGAATCAAAAGGAATTAAATTGAATCAAACTGAATCAAGCTAAATCAAGCTGCATCAAACTGAATCGTAATGAATGAAACTGAATCAAACCGAATCAAACTAACTCGTAACTGAAGCAAACTGAATCAAACTGAATCAAACCTGAACCGTAACTGAAGCAAACTGAATCAAACTGAAAAGTAACTGAATCGTAACTGAAGCAAACATAATCAAACTGGATCAAACTATGAAAATCGTAACTGAAGCAACTGAATCAAACTGGCTAGTAACTAAATCAAACTGAATCAAACTGAATAGTAACTGAACCAAACTGAATAGTAACTGAAAAAACTGAATCAAACTGAATAGAAACTGAATAGTAACTGAAGCAAACTGAATAATAACTGAAGCACACTGAATCAAACTGAATAAAAACAGAAGCAAACTGAATCAAACTGGATCAAACGAAATCGTAACTGAAGCAACTTGAATCGTAACGGACTCGTAACTGAAGCAAACTGAATCAAATTGAATAGAAACTAAAACAAACTGAATCAAACTGAATAGCAACGCAAGCAAACTCGATCAAACTGAATAGCCACTGAATCAACCTGAATCAAACCGAATCAAACTAAATTGTAACTGAAGCAAACTGAATCATAACTGAATCGTAACTGAAGCAAACTGAATCAAACTGAATCGTAACTGAAGCAAACATAATCAAACTGAATCAAACCATATATATAAATCGTAACTGAAGCAAACTGAATCAAACTGAATAGTAACTAAATCAAACTGAATCAAACTGAATAGTAACTAAATCAAACTGAATAGTAACTGAATAGTAATTGAAGCAAACTGAATCAAACTGGATAGAAACTTAATCGAACTGAATCAAACTGAATCAAACTGAATAGTAACTGAAGCAAACTGAATCAGACTGAAAAGTAACTAAATGAAACTGAGTCATAGTGAATAGTAACTGAAGCAAAATGAATCAAACTGAATAGTAACTAAATCAAACTGAATCAAACTGAATAGTAACTGAAGCAAACTGAATCAAACTGAATAGTAACTGAGTCAAACTAAATCAAACTGAATAGAAACTAAATCAAAATGAATAGTAACTAAATCAAATTGACTCAAACTGAATAAAACTGAATAGTATATAACTAAAGCAAACTGCATCAAACTGAATAGTAACTAAATCAAACTGAATCAAACTGAATAGTAACTAAATCAACTGAATCAAACTGAATAGTAACTGAATCAAACTGAATAGCAACTAAATCAAACTGAATCAACTGAATAGCAACTAAATCAAACTGAATGGTAATTGAAGCAAACTGAATCAAACTGAATAGTAACTAAATCAAACTGAATCAATCTGAATCAAACTGAATAGTAACTGAATCGTAACTGAAGCAAACATAATCAAACTGAATAACCCCCGTCTGGTGCCAGGGGGGGGTGAGGCACCTAAAAAATAAAATAAAATGGAGGGGCCTAAGGACAAAATGCCAATAAAATGAGGGGGCATAAGGTAAGATACAGACCGTTCACAAATGATCAGACCGCTCACAGCTGTGCATCTTTGCTATCATGCTATCTCTGTCAGTTAACTTGATGGGTTAGGCACCTCAGAAAATAAAATACACCCACAAAATAAAATGCCGGGGTCTGACCCATTTTATTTTATTATTTGTTATTTTTTAAGGTGCCTCAGCCTCAGCCCCCTCATTTTATTTAGGCACACCAATCGGAGGTCTGAATAGTAACTAAGTGAAACTGAATCAAACTGAATAGTAACTAAATCAAACTACTCGAAACTACACTAGGCAGGTGGGGCCACAGCAGCAACCTTTTCAACGCACTACACGAGGTGATAAACTAACAACAAGTCTTGAGCAGCTCGAATCTGCGGGGGGAAAAAACATGTTGAGTCGGCTGGCTTCCCAGTGATCATCTTTGATGATCAGGTACTGCAGCTTCAACTCTACGAGAATTCCATCCATTGGATCAACGGCTTCGTCGATCAGAACTGCTACGGTTTTAGGTTTTATGCGTCATCTGTCTGCCAGTAGTGAAAAGCTCTCGGGTCTGCTTTGCCTTCACGAGACCAGGCCAAAATCGACTTGGCATCTGACCACACAAAGTTCATGTAGCTTTACGTTCCCTGCAGGCTTCACACACGAGCACGCAGACTTGTAAGCATAGCCCAGCGTCTTCGAACTCCGACGCAGTTGTGGCACAGGTCACCCGCTTCGTATGCAGGATGACATACAGTTAGCTCGACCTTACGCCTCACCGATGCCACCAAGGTCCATCCGCAAACATGCGTAGGGTAAGTAGGCCCTGCTAGCAGGCCTGCATCGAAGCTCACATGTGCAACATCCATCTCACTCCCAAAGTGAACTTTGTCACATTTCAAATTCCAGGATCTAGCATTCAGAGATATTCAGAATATGCTATTTAGTATCTGTGGAACATTGATGAGGAAGCACGAAGACTTCCGTAGTCACGGACACTCTGTCCTTTTTTTTTGCGGTTGTGGCTTTGCAACTACTGTCACTAGGTCGGTAAATGCATGTGGATCCACCGTCCGTAGCTGTAAGGCCACTCCCATGCACTGTATGCTGGCGGAACAAATCCGTTTGATCAAGGGTGGTCCTGTCCGTTCGGGCGTGTTTTGCGCGACACGAGAGCGAACGTCTTCCGCTCGACCTCGGATTCACTGACTGCTTTTCTCACATGCTAGGTAAACTTTGTCACCAAGCCTTGTCCACCCTTCACTTTCACTCCCTGCGCAGTTTGGTTGGCACCATGCACAGGGCAGTGTGTTTGGTCAACTTCAACTCAAACGCGATAGGCGGGTTCCTTTAGCCGTCTTTGGTGGTGACCCATTACGGCCAGGGATTGAAACGCTTGATGCATCTCAGCAATCAGTTGTGGGCTCGTGAGAAAACCATGACTGAACTTGTGGATTAAACATCCATCACGCCTTTGATCTTCCACTGCTAGTCCAATGGACATTACTGATGCTGCTCGGATTGGCAGGCTTTGCCCTGTTGGCCAGTTCAGCCGTGACTTAGCACTTTTGTGGATACGACAACCCACTCTCAATCAACCGGCGTCAGTGGTACGTTGTACAGCAGCTGGCGTCATCGCAGGCTTCTTGCGCATTGAAGCCACACAGACAGAGTCGAGCTCTGATCTGCGCTTCTTACTGTCCAATCACACAGTTCATTAAAGGAGACACTTGCAGTTGCAAGTCATCTCGAGTTTGGGGTCCTACTCCAATCACTGTGCGGGTCTCAGGCACGCAGCGTTGCAGGCAGCATTTTGAGGAACTGCCTAGAGACTGTCCCTTATTTCCTGCCTTTCACGCCCGACCGTCACTCGTTCTAGTGCCGCGGTTGAACATGCATGTATGTGCTTTGGAAAGTGCTACTCTCGTACATACACTTCTTTTGTGGGGGAGTCGATCCAACCCCTCAAACATGGCTCCATGTGTGATGTGTCTGGTCGCATTTGGCATGCGCACCGTTGAAGATACTACTTTCGGCAACATGGGACATCTTGAACTGCACTGGAATCTCGGCACTCAGCGTACCTCTTTCAGACTCCTTGCTGAGCTCTTGCCTTCTGGAAGCTTTCAGCAAGTTGGTCCAAAACAGATGTGTTCGACTTCTGGATCACCACTTTTATCGACTGACACGGTTGTTTTACCTTTACGGTCACCGCGCCTTGAGCTGCGTTCCATAGCTCACTTTTGATCATGGCCGGCAGAAAACAAACGACCAAAACGGGACCAAAGCTTGGTTCAAACCGATTTCTTTTCTCGGCTGGGGACAGCTGAGCGTCTGAGCGTCTTCACTATTTTCGTGGCACGACGGTATGGTGTTACAAAGGTATTACAACCCTTCCACTGCATTTACTTCCTGCGGAGTGAACTGGGCACACTGACGTTCACACGCAGACTGTTGCCAGGTTCTGACTTTGGACACAACATGCGCACGCTGGCATCGGCTTGAGCTCACCTTTGTCAGGTTCATGTGCTTTCCAGGGTCACACACTACCTGGTTTCTGCTTCCAACGGACCACAGGCACGTTGAACGTATGCTAAGCGTTGCCCATCCCGGCGTTGTGCCGGTTCTCTGACAGATTCCAACCACATCAACCAGTCTAGACTGATTCTGGCTGGTCCTTTTTGGTCCGATGATTCCTTAGTTCTCGAGGCCTAAACGCCTTCACTTCCTGACCGCGTTGTAGTTCCATTTCCTCACCCACAGGACTGTTGTGAATTCCCTTTGTCTAAAAGAGTCATATATACCTACACACTCATTCCACCTGCGTCCTATGCTGCGATTCCTTTTGGACAATGTATGACCTTTGTCATTGTAAGCTCGTCACGGTCTAATGTGGTATCTCGGCAGTATGCCGGCGATAGAGGCGACACTCTATCAAGTCCATGGATGGCGGCACTCCATGTCATTCATACTAGGGATCTGCACCTGCATTCCAGCTGTCGCAGTTATGGGCAATGTCAAGTAAAGGCAACACCACAACCGTGGGAACTTCATGACAGTGTGCTGAACACTTTGCAGAACTAGGCAATTGACACGCCATGGGTCCATGGGTGCAACAGGCAGTGTAGCACATCCAGGCGCAAGGTGGCAACACATCCTGCTTTCACAGATGGACTGCCTACGCGCTGAAGCAAACGGCTGCTTCAGTCACATGGTGCATCTGCAGTGCGCCTAACTACAGCACAGCTGTGTAAAAGCTAGAACGCCATCTGCACACTGTGTCTTTTAAAGCACACAATGTTTGGCGGACACACGATCATGGCCTTGACGCCATAATGCACCAGCTTCTATGGACGACACCATTCAGCGATCGCTCCACACTGGAGTCCATCAAGCACCGTTGCCTGCCTGATGAGGCGCTGGATGAGGTTCGGCC